GGGGGGGAGAATGGAGAGAGAGAGAGAGAGAGAGAGAGAGAGAGAGAGAGAGAGAGAGAGTTGTCAGGCAAACGTCATGTTTAACCTCTGCTGCCAATCCTTGAGGTATGCGATCCGAGGTGGCTGCATTCAGGTGAGAATTCAGAGAGGCGATGTTTTTTGCGGTCATCGGCGCTGTTCGGGGTGTGGAGTTCTCCCTCCGTCATTCTTTCTCTCACCTGTCTCTCAGTGTATCTCTCCCTCCCTATCTGTCTATTGTCCTCAAGTGTGCTTGGAGGGGTGCACATGCCGAACACAAGTGGTGGAGACCCGGGCGAGCAGAGCCATTGCGTGGGAGAGGAGGCATGCGAAAGTGTGTGGATAATTGTCGACTCTTTATTCGGGATTTTCAAAACCGTGTCACCAAGCACTTTTCCTTGGCGCACACTTTCCCTCCTCATGGATGCCATGGTAGGGACCTGCACGCCATAGAGCGGGAAGTTTCTTTCCACAGTCGGTTCAACTGGTATGTCGCCTTTTTTTTTTCTTTTTGGGGTCTTACCCATTATGAGGTCCAACCCACCCTCCTCTCATCAACTCTCCTTGCTCAGGATCATTACCATTCTACCATCGTGGTAGGGTGATCTGACCAGACAGCGGTTGCAGGCACCTGGGCTGAGCAGGAACCCTGCTCAGCCCTGGTTGAGGCATGCTTGAACGTCCCCTGTCCTAGTTATTTAAGGCGCTAGGCATAAGCATTCTCTCTACAGGCTCCATAGGTAGACCTCTTAGTGCCTCCCAAACTTCCCTGGGCTCTCGAGTGTATGGATCTAGTAGTGCATACCCTTGATATCACAGGCAGTGGCTGATGGTCCCCCGTGGCCAAGGTCTAACCTATGACACCCCCTGAGCAACTTGGGTATGCCCACCTAGCACAACTATTTTTCGTCGGTTCTTCTGCCGTGTTGTTAAGACAACCTAGAGGTACTCTACCCTCTGTCACCAGTAGGTGTACAACACACCATCGGCCCGCTTACCTCGGTCATCAACTAGACCCCTCTAGTCGCTATGGGTGTACTGCTGTTGTTCTGGTCCTTGGTGGTTGTATATCATCTGGAGGTATTCCAGTGTTGGTCATCCGTAGGTACACAGCCACCACCTGTTCCCATACCTGAGTTATCAACTAGACCTCTCCAGTTGTTGTAGCTGTTCCTGTTCTATCATGAACTGGGCTCACTCTGGTCTATCTGTCATGAGAAGCAGACTGTTATGTGTTCGATTGATTCACAACTCAAACCCGCATTCAAATGTTCCCATACGCATCTGCAATGACAGGCAGACTGGAGAGAGCAGATTCACACCGTAGCCATGGAGAGATATTGCACAGCGGAAGCCAAAACCAGATATAAAAATTGGGAGAAAAATGTTTCAATCAATTATTTATTACACCCCCTGCTCTCCTCCAAGAATCTCAACCACGAAATCTGTTCCACCTCCAATTAACCCCTGCCAATACACTTGAACGAAGCTTCACTGAACTTCGTCTTCTCCCTATGACCCCCAGCCTCCAATGATAGCCCACTGTTGAAAACAGCATCTCATCATGGCCCGAGCCTGTCAGTACAGGCGCTGATGTGGCATGAGCCAGATACCAAGTCGCAGTGCCGCAAACCACCGTGAAGAAGAAGGTGAGCTTCGACGAAGAAGATGATGGCTGCCCTGGTATGGCAGCAACCAGCAACAAGCCGCTTTATGAACAGCG